ACTATCTTGCAATTAATATTTTACATATGGTGGACAAAATTATTTTGATGTTTTTTTTTTATTTTTTTTACTAAAACCCTTTAAATGTCTAAAGAATCACTTTGTATTACGATATATTTACTTTTATTGCAAATTTTGTTAAATAGTTGCTAATACTAAAAATTATTTAACAAGCTATAAAACTTTAAAAATGATTTATAATTTTTGAATTTCAAATCCTTTAATTTCTTAAAATAGAGGAACTGAATAACAAACTCTTCTGGTGGAAAAAAACTTCAAAAAAAAAATTAATGATGCAACAAGCTTCGAAAATAAAAATGAAAATTTGTCACTAGATTTGAAACTCTATTATCAAATTGTCATATGTTCACAACATTAGCACCATCAAAACTAGCTTTGCAACTAAACCTCAGTTTAGTTAATTCCTTAGCATTGTGATTAGCACAGTAGTTTGTATATCACACAACTTTTTAAGAGTGTATTTTAGAAGATCTTTTAGCAATATTTGTACTCAATAGCCATCTATTTAAATGTTCTTGGGATAGCATTTAGCTTTTAAAGATCCTAAACCATTTTATAAAGGCCATATAATGGTACAAGAAGCTGTTTTTTGCAGCACCATTTCTTAGAAGCTGGTATGTTGATTTTGATATATTACCATTAAAAATTAATGCTCAAGTTTCATCAGGTGAATATATCTAAGCAGGTTTAATTGGGTTTTCATATGAAATTTTAGTAATTTTTGTGCCTGTTTTGTACTTAAACTCACTTCATAGTTTCAATTTTGTTGCATGAAGTAATTTAGGGTTAAATGAAATATTAATACATTGCTAAAGTTATTCTTTTTGTTCTGTTACAAGCTTTTTTAAAAAAGCAACATGCAGGGGTGTACCCTTATGGTCGTCTGGTGGCATGGGATGGCTTGTTTTCTTTAAGGGTGAAAAAAAATGCCTGTCAGGAACCTGTCATTGTTAAGTTTTGAAGGATTTAGAAAAGATTTTTAAATCTTTTAAAACTTAACCATGTTGGATTATGTTGTACTCAGTGTTGTATATAAAAAAATTGGTTACTTTTTTTCTAATAAAAATATTTATCTTGTGTACTTTAAAGTTTGCTTTGCCAAAATTACTATTTTTATTGTGTTAGTTTATTTCAAACACTTAACGATTTGTTGAGCAAATAATAAAAACATGCTGCAGCAAACGTTATTTATAACCACGGCAGACTAAATCTGAAGAGGAAAAACCAATCTAACGATGTAAAACTGAACTGAGTTCACTGAGAGAAAAATTCTGCAGTGAACAAAAACATTTATTATTGAAACCAGTTGTTTTTTTAACAGAAAAAACAATGCAGATTTAGGAGCCTAAAATTAAGCTCTCAACCAGAAGTATAATGCCAAACAACAAATGCTTTTGTTAATATCTTATTCAAGGTTAAATTTTCTAATGTTTATATATAATGTGAACACAACTTATCACTTAGGGATCTCTTTAACAACATTTTTTAACATGTTATAACATTTCTTTTTTTTTTATTAATTAATTTACTTTTAATTGAACCGTTTCTTATTAGATTCTTATTAGTCAGATGTTTAAATTTTGATTCTCCAGTATTTTCATCCAAGAAAAAATAACAAAAAAAAACAATTTTACTGAACTATAGTAGACACTCAAATGAGAAATAAAAACTATTATAGCTATTATATAACCACCTGCAGGCTTTTTTTTTGTGATAAACAAATATTTAAGTTTCCAAGTATCATTTATTAAAAAATGTATATGCCATTGCGCTTTCTCTTTCCTTAAAACAAAAAAGTAAATCGTACGCTTTATGAATATTTTTGATGCAGTGTTATAAGTTATAATATGTTTACAAGGAATTTAATTTTTTGTAAAAAATGGAAAAGGAAGAAGAAAAACCAAGAAATGAAAAAAGCCATTATAGTATTTATAGAAAAGAGAAAGAGAAGCAACATTATGGTGATGTGATAATGGTTGGATGTTGGCTGCAAGAGCATGCCCAACTATGTTTACAATGTGTTTTTGCATCTTATCTAAAAGAAAAAGGGATCATTAGAAGATCTGTCCCAGATATGGCAACAGTATTCCATACAAGGACGGATTTGAGATTTATAGAGATAAAGTATAGAATCTGGAGTAAGAAAGTGGCGAGCATGATAAAAAGATGCAACATTTGATATATTGTTTCCAATGAAGATCGGAAGTAAGTGTTAATCCTAGAAGATGAAGGGTACATGACTCATTGAATACATTACTGTTCATAAATATAGGAAGATCTACATTATTGCAATAACGATAGCTGAAAAAATTGAGGTCTTAAAAGAGCCTATTCTAGGAAAAAAATTTGGGCGGCGGTACCCCTCCGTCTCAGAGAAATTTAGCCAAAAATTGCAAAAAACAAACAATATTTGCCGTAAAAAAAGTAAAAAAAAAATTAAGGTTCTCATATTTTAATTTGGTCGGCGCCAAAATACGGTTGACGCTGTCAAAAATGGTCTAGAATAGCCCCTGCTTAGTTAAAGGATTTTATAAATGCTGAGTTTAAATGTATTATAAGTGTATTATAAATGATCATCTACTTACTGTTATAAATGCTGATCTTTACTTTATATTTTTTTCCTAAGACTGTTAAATAGTTTAAATATATAAACTAATTCTGTAAGCTTTTAAGTTACTGTTTACTATAGCTATGCATAATAAAAAAAGTTTCACACATAAAAAAAGTTTTATTTTTATGGTTTTAAAATATACTGTACTGAAAACAATTTTAAAATAGTATTACAAATATATTTTATTATATGGTTTTGAATATAATAAATTTTTTTTTAAATTTTGTCCACCATCTAGCCCACTTTGCATTGAATTACAGTCAATGTAATGAATGAATTATTTGTAATAAAATAAATGAATTATTTTAAACAAAGTACAGTTGAAAGAAAAAATTATCTTTGTTACATACAGTAATTTCAAAAAAATATTAAATAAGAACATCAAACTTTAATTTTAACTTTAAAGAAGAAAATATTTTATATCTCTGCTCATTAAAATCATTTTAAAAGCTGCTAATATTAATTATGTTACTAACTCTGGTGTGCAGATACTATTTAAACTAAATACCTAATAATAGGAGAATACATTAATGAAACATTTCTTTAGAAATTACTTATGTTACATAAAACAAGATTTTTTTACAAAATACATTTTTTTTTTAATGATTCTATATATTTCTTAAAAAAAAAAAAGAACAAATTACTATCACCAAATTACTATCACCAAATTTAAATTTTAATAATCATGCATTTATATTTTGGAAATTTTTTTTGTTAATTTTAGTCATTTCGGGTGGTCGTTGACAATTGACTGGCCGTTATTTTCCATGCTGATTCAAAACATAGAGATTTTTGTTTTCAAAATAACTTTAAATCGACAATTTTGCAATACAAATATTTCTTGCTTTAAACAAAACAAAACAGAATTACCTTACTTTTCTTTGCATATGATTTCCCACTCAAAGTTCAACAAAAATGGTCAATCTGTTCATAAAAAACAAAGGAAAAATGCAATTTTGATGCTGTTGTTGTTGTTACGATAGCGTAAAAAACAAAGTAACTCATGAAAAAATGATTTGTCAAATTTTTATTTTTTGATTAACAAGTTTTTCAGAAAATTTTAGCAGAAGTTAACAGCTAACTAGTGCCTTTAATGTTTTGTTACATGGTTAAATTTTTAATTTTAACAGAGCTAAATTTTAACAGAGCTGAATTTCTAATGGAGTTAATCAGTGAATAATGAATTAACTGCATAATGCCCACCACTGGGTAATGGTATATGCATATTAGTATATGCAGTTCTCTATTTTTTTTATGAATTTTTGCACTGCTTTCTTAAAACATTCTTGCTACTTAAAACAGCTATCATAACATGTTCCATCAATTAAAACTCTCTGGTGTGCAACTTGTCATACAAAGTGTCTTTTTACTGTTTTGTCATGCTCTAATATCTGTTACATTAATGCTTTGGGTTGGCTCTAATATCTGTTTTTTTTTATTGTACATGCTTTGGGTTTCTCTTTTATATTTGTGTTTTTCTGAAAAAATTTGCAGTTTTGTAAGAGTTCTGTGAACAGTTTGGTTGTTCTCTTTTTTACTTTCTGTGAACTCCAAATGTCAGAAATTTCTTCTACCTTAGTTGGGAATTTTTCTTCTTTGTTGGGATAAAATACAGAATCATGAGTTACACATGGAATCACAAATAAGAGTTAGAATCTTTTATTTATAAGCATATCAATATCATAGCAAACAGAGCTAAAGTTATATTTGACTATTTAAAATCTTATGGTAGGTTATTTCTAAAATGTTTTGCAGATTAATTAGATTTTTTACAGAGCATGTTACAGATTATTAAAATTAAAATATGCCTGTAAGTTAAAGTTAAAATTAAAAAAAAAAACTATAGACAGAATAAAAATGTCTTTATACTTGTATTATACTTGTATAAAATACTTGTATAATAGCATACTATTCTTTATACATATATGAAACATAAGATACACATTGATGGCATCATATTCAAAAAATCTAAATAGATTTATCTTTAAATTGATAGTTCACCTGCATTAACCAAACTTACAATTGATGTATACACACTTTGTCTAAAGCTATGATATTATTCCATATATTTACACTCACTTCATTTACATCTAATTAGCAATTCAGTTGATAAAACTAAATTAAAAAAGCAAAAAATAAATAAAATATAATATTTATAACATAATACACAAGCTCAGAACTTTTACTTTGTTAACGGCACACAAGCTCTGAACTTTTTTAAAATAGATTTGTTATATGCATTGCTGCCTTATCTTACTGATTTGATAGTAGAGAGTGCAGATACTAAAGTTTTTAACTCATAATATATTTTTTAAAATTTGATGTTTAAATTGGTTTTTGTAATTTTTATTTTTTTATTTTGGTATAGAAACAGGCCAAGTATTATGATTCTCAGAAAAATGCCATTCGTACTCGCAATCAATATATTCAGAATGTAGAGTCATTGTCTGCAGTACTTTCCAAGTATTTTGACTGTGATGTTTCAGAGATTATAAATGTAAGAGTTTAAATAATCAATTTTATTTTAGTGAATCTTTTATGAATAATATATACAATGCTTAATTGTTGTCAGCAATTTATATATATATATATAAATATATATATAAATATATATATATATATATATATATATATATATATATATATATATATATATATATATATATATATATATATATATATATATGTACATACATATATATATATATATATATATATATATATATATATATATATATATATATATATATATATATATATATATATATATATATATATATATATATATATATATATATATATATATATATATATATATATATATATATATATATATATATATATATATATGTACATACATATATATATATATATATATATATATATATATATATATATATATATATATATATATATATATATATATTATAAATAAAATATAAATATATATATATATGTATATATATATATATATATATATATATATATATATATATATATATAATATATATATATATATATATATATATATATATATATAAATATATATATATATTTATATATATATATATATATATATATATATATATATATATATATATATATATATATATGTATATATATATATATATATATATATATATATATATATATATATATATATATATATATATATATATATATATATATATATATGGGTATTTCCACGAGTGACAGGAAAAGAAAAAAAAGTTAGGAAAACATATGCTAACCTCAATAAATTCTTTTTTTAACTATTTAGGAATACTTTTAAGCCAAAAAATGATTAAAAAAATCATTTTATCATACCATAGCATTGTTTTAAAGTTGTAAGGGTTATATAAACAATTTTTGACGTTTTTTTATATAGTCTTGTTGTAAAGCGTTGAAAAAGGTTAATGTGCTGCGTTTTTATGTAACAATTACTTTTAAGTTTAACTTAAAGACAATATTAAACATTATATAGAATATTATTTATAAAAATGCACTCCAACTATGTATAAAAAAAGAATATGTAATTCAAATTAATGCGTTATGACCGTCACGAAAAAAATTTAAGAAGTTTTTTCTAGACTTCCTATCAGACTTTATTAAGCTAAAAACATTGTAAAAGTAAAGATACTGATATAAGTTTTATCATTGTTTTAATTTTAAAAAAAAACGAGCTTTAGATGATAGTATTAAGATGTAACAAAGCACATTATGACCATCACGCTACATTTGTTTTTCCATAACGGTTTATTGACATCTATATAAAAAGTTTCAGTTGGAACGATTTTATTATTAAAAATTATTTGCAGTTTGTTTACTCATAATATTGCTAAGCTTGTTAAAGTAACTTAGAATAATTTAAAATTAGAAAGTATTTCTTTTTTAAAATATAAATCACTTATTTAAAATAATTGATGTAAATTAATTCATATTTGTCAAGAAATGAAAACTTTTAACATAAAGAAATTTTTTTTTCATTAAAACATTTTTTTATAGTTTGCATTGCAACGTTTTTGTTTATTCGATTTTGCAGTTTTTTTAATTATAAATTTTGCGGTTTTTTTTAATCATAACAGAACGTTAATCTCAAAAGTTAAATTTAATAACATTTTATAAATGCCTTAATTAGATGCTTATAGAGCAAGAAACAGAAAAGGGTTGTTGGAAAAAAAGAAAGGGAAGTTATTAAAGAAGACACTTATCAAAGAAAACAAAAGAAATAAAAACAAGCTAAAAAATCAAGTGAAAGTTGGCAACCAAAGCTTGAAAACAATTTCAAAATCGATATTTTTACTTTGAAATTGTTTTATAAACTTATGTTGGGAACAGGGAGCATTAACCATTCAAACTTTAGTAAAGTATTTAAGTATAAATAAATAAATTAGCCTGCCTATAGTTACCAATTTTAAATTTAATGAACCCAGTATCAAAAAACCATAATTGAGAACTTTGATAATGTTATTGTTTTATAAACTTATGTTGGGAACAGGGAGCATTAACCATTCAAACTTTAGTAAAGTATTTAAGTATAAATAAATAAATTAGCCTGCCTATAGTTACCAATTTTAAATTTAATGAACCCAGTATCAAAAAACCATAATTGAGAACTTTGATAATTTATACTTTGTTACAAAATTTATACCAAGTTTATACTTTTTTTTGATTGACATGGTTTTTATGATTATTCATCTTTTTTTTTTGATTGCGTTGTTTTATTTATTGTTTTTCAAAATTAGATTTTTCGTTATATATATACATATATATATATATATATATATATATATATATATATATATATATATATATATATATATATATATATATATATACATATATATAAAATATAAGTTGTTTATATTAAAAATAATATTATACATATATATATATATATATATATATATATATATATATATATTATATATATATATATATATATATATATATATATATATATATATATATATATATATATATATATATATATATATATATATATATATATATATATATATATATATATATATATATATATATTAAAAATAATTTTTTTTAGTTATAAAAGTTGTTTATATTAAAAATAAACAAAAGTTAATAAAGTTATAGGATATAAATTTTTAAACACTTTATATTCAAAAGTATTGAATTATATTTTAAAACTTATAAAAAGTTTTCTTGAAAAAGTTAAGAACTTCAAGCTATAAGTTGTTATTGGATAGTTCATTTGAATAAAGTGGGAGGATGAGGAAGGAGGAACACATGAATGTATTCATGTGTTCTAAACATAAAAATCTAATATAAATCTAGCAGGAAAAAGAAGATTTCAAGAAGAAAAGTTAATAATCCTTGATGTTTTGTATCAATGTTCCATGATGTTTTGTAATACTTTTCCATGGTGTAAATATATGGAGTTCATAATGGCAATTAAGCTATGTAATGTCATATTATGGAACAATTAAAATAGTTTAATAACAATAATATTAATTTTATTAATTTTCAATATTAAATATATGGAGTTCATAATGGCAATTAAGCTATGTAATGTCATATTATGGAACAATTAAAATAGTTTAATAACAATAATATTAATTTTCAATAACTGTTTGTCAATATTTTAAAGTTGACAAACTATGCTAAGCATAAATTGTTTATAAAAAAGTTTTACTTTTTTATAACCAATATATGTTTGAAAAATTGTTTAATAAAGTCATCAAAAATTGTTTAATTAAGTCAATTATGTAACAATTAAGTTATGTAACTACAGTTTTTTGCTAAAGTTTTTTGCTTCAAGACACTCATACCTATTGCTGCTCAAAATCTTCCTTGTTAATTTTAAACTTGTTACAGGAATAGTTTTAAAAAGTTCAAATAAATTCAAAATTAATTCTGATAATTTAAAATATTTTTTTAAGAAAGTAAAAAATTTTTTAAATAGTGCTCCTGAGCTGTTGCATAGATTTATGCAACTATCCATACATCTATGCACATATCCATACATCTATGCAACATATCCATACATCTATGCAACATATCCATACATCTATGCAACATATCCATACATCTATGCAACATATCCATACATCTATGCAACATATCCATACATCTATGCAACATATCCATACATCTATGCACATATCCATACATCTATGCACATATCCTTACATCTATGCACATATCCATACATCTATGCAACATATCCATACATCTATGCAACATATCCATACATCTATGCAACATATCCATACATCTATGCAACATATCCATACATCTATGCAACATATCCATACATCTATGCACATATCCATACATCTATGCACATACCCATACATCTATGCACATATCCATACATCTATGCACATATCCATACATCTATGCACATATCCATACATCTATGCGCATATCCATACATCTATGTAACATATCCATACATCTATGCAACATATCCATACATCTATGCAACATATCCATACATCTATGCAACATATCCATACATCTATGCAACATATCCATACATCTATGCAACATAGTTCTACTCTTACTATTCAAATAAAGTTTTTTGGCGCGAATACTTAAATGTTATTTTAATTATATAAATTAATGTTATTTTAATTTTATGTTTTAAAAACTTTCATTCGTTTTATTATTTAAAGTATTTTACAAACAATTTTTACTGTTGTTTGAAATGAAAAAGTTCAAAACTCATCTAGTTTAATCGTTTCGAAAATAATGTTATGAAAACGTAAGCGGAGGAGAAACTCATATTAATGTATTTTAAAAATGTAACTAAGCGTTTTATATTTTAATCCAATCAAAACGTGCGTTTTACATTTAATCCAGTTACAACATATTCTATATTTCATCAACGTGAATTCGAATTAAGCATTTTGGTTGGCTTAAAATACATTTATAATGTATTTTAAGTTTTAAAATACATTTTACTTTTAAAATACATTTATAATGTATTTATTATGTATTTATAATGTATTTTAAATGCGACTTTTAAAATACACTTATAATGTACTTTAAAAGTCGTTTTTCAAATGTTAATATTTATGTAATTGTAACAAATGCTAATATAAAACTGTTTTAAATTGAGTTTGGGCTGAAATTTGGGGGCCCATTCCGGTATACCGGTATCAAAATCGGCCTGGATACGTCGCTGTATCCATACATCTATGCAACATATCCATACATCTATGCACATATCCATACATCTATGCACATATCCATACATCTATGCACATATCCATACATCTATGCACATATCCATACATCTATGCACATATCCATACATCTATGCACATATCCATACATCTATGCACATATCCATACATCTATGCACATACCCATACATCTATGCACATATCCATACATCTATGCACATATCCATACATCTATGCACATATCCATACATCTATGCGCATATCCATACATCTATGCAACATATCCATACATCTATGCAACATATCCATACATCTATGCAACATATCCATACATCTATGCAACATATCCATACATCTATGCAACATATCCATACATCTATGCAACATATCCATACATCTATGCACATATCCATACATCTATGCAACATATCCATACATCTATGCAACATATCCATACATCTATGCACATATCCATACATCTATGCAACATATCCATACATCTATGCACATATCCATACATCTATGCACATATCCATACATCTATGCACATATCCATACATCTATGCACATATCCATACATCTATGCAACATATCCATACATCTATGCAACATATCCATACATCTATGCACATATCCATACATCTATGCAATATATCCATACATCTATGCAACATATCCATACATCTATGCAACATATCCATACATCTATGCAACATATCCATACATCTATGCACATATCCATACATCTATGCACATATCCATACATCTATGCACATATCCATACATCTATGCACATATCCATACATCTATGCAACATATCCATACATCTATGCAACATATCCATACATCTATGCACATATCCATACATCTATGCAATATATCCATACATCTATGCAACATATCCATACATCTATGCAACATATCCATACATCTATGCACATATCCATACATCTATGCACATATCCATACATCTATGCATTTAAATATGTGCTCATACATATGTAAATTACAAGGCTTAAAGATGGGAACTAGGGTAAAATAGTTTGTCTGTTGAGTACACAAACATGCTTTGAAATAAATAACATAAGTAGCTTTGGACGTTTTGAATTTCACCTGATGAGCAGTCAAAACTCTTTTTTTTTTTTTTTTTTAAAAAGTTATTTATATCAGATAAGTCAGGAAAACAAGCCTAAAACATAATGAGTAAAATATGACCTAATAAAAAATTGCTATTAAGTAGGGGACTCTTGTTCATGATTGACATATTTATTTGACATATGAATGTCAAGCATCAACAAGTATACTGAAGAATGTACCAAATAAAATGACTAAAAACCATCAAATGCAAAATAATACTTATATCAGAATAACCATAACAGTGTTAGTAAAGACAGTATAGCCTTATCAATAATAAACTTGTTATCTAGATAATCAGTTTTATCATGTTTTAGGATAATTTTATTTTTATTTCATGCTTTAGAATAAATTTATTCTCAAAGTATATCTAAATATACTTATGTTATTATTGTATTTAGTTAGGTCTTGATTGCATCCTTGGTTTTAGAGGTCTTATCTTGAGTATGAGTGATGCATTTCATTTGCAAGTTTTATATTTAATTTTTTAATAGAGTTTAAATTTTTGCTAGAATTTTATTACTCTCATTTACTGTTTTTGTTTGTGTAAATTTTAAAAAAAATTTTCAAAATGTGTCTTTCTCTGGTTTTTTTAGAAGTTAAAAAGAAAAAAAATAATTATTGTTGTATAAGATCTTTTTGTTTAACAAATATTTGTTTTTGTTAATTTTTGTTAAACTAGATATAAATTGTATTTTTTTTAGCTTTGATAAATTTTATGTTAAAACTATGTTGTAATGAGCGATTTGTAATTTTTTAATTATTTTTGATTTTATTTTGATTATTACATGTTCATTTTTTTATTGTTTATATTTATTTTCTCTAAAAACTTTCAAAAAAAAGTGCATTTCTACTAGGTTTTTTCTTATTTACAAAAGTTCTCTTTTTATAGAAGTTTGACCATAACTTTCACGATTCATTTTCTTCAACATTGCAAGCATATATCGGAGCAGAGATTCGTATGGCAAGCGCTCAAATACAATCTGCTAATTCATTAGCTCACACTGTGTCTGTCATGGATATAAAAAGTGACAACAAAATGTTTCTTGAAGATAATGACATATTTAAAGCAGGGATGAAGTTTAGTTTTATCCCACATGCTGAAGATAATGTAAGTTTTTTTTTGGCTTAACATTTTTCTCCACAACTGCTCTAAATTTTGACTTACCTATAACAAAGTTTTTACCAATAAAATAAAAAACAACATACTTAACATAGTTTGGTACAGCAAGTTTATTTTTTTTGAGTATTGCACTCTTCTCCATTTGGCCAGCATTTTCGCCATTTTCGCAAAAATTTGGCAATGGCTTTAGAAAATGCTCGTCAAAATATTTGTTTTTACAACAAATCTTTTTTTGCAACCAGTCTTTTTTTTTTATAATTAAATGCTATGATGAAATTGTGATAACATTTTCATGTATGAATTATTTTATTTAGAATTTAAATAAAGCATTTGTTTTATAGTTTTTCTTTTAATCATATTATTTAGAATTTTTCTAAAGCAATTTTTTTTTGCCTTTTTTAAAAATTTAAGTAATAACGAATTTATAAAATCACACACGCCAGCCTAAAAGTTACCATCTGGTCAGTGCTTTTTTGAGCACAAGCTTTTAATTTCAAACTAAGAAAGCTGGTATTGCAAGGAAGTTTAAAATTTTAGTTCTGTTTAATTTAGGTTTTGACAATTACTGCTGAGCAAGCGATTGAGGCAGAACTCACACAACAACATAGAAAACTGTTTGATGAACTTAAACAGCTTGAAGTGGAAATAGCTGATGTTCGTTTTTTTTTCATATCTTATCACAATTTATTATTTTATTACTTTATTATTATTATTATTATTATTATTATTATTATTATTATTATTATTATTATTATTATATTATATATTATATATTATTATATATTATGCTGTCATCAATTTTGTTTTATATAATAATTATAAATAATAATTAAGTAAATAAGTTACATTGTTCTAGAAAATTTCTCTCATAAAAATTTTATTTTCTGTAAATGTATAATAGTTATGCAGTTTATTATTTTAATATATTTTAATTATGCAAATATTTATTTAATAATTATTTTAATATATTTTAATTAATTTTTTCATATTTTAATATGTAAGTATTAATTATAATAGAAAGTGTTTATAACTTATTGTTATAATAAATTGTAATAATTAATAATTGTTTTTAAAACTTTCCAAGTAATCAAAGTTAAAAAAAAATACTCTATAATATTTTAAACTTATTTTCTATTAATATATTTTTCTATTTCACTTTTCAGAATTAAAAAATATAATCTTTGGAAATTATTAGTTTAATTGAGCTAGTATTGTAGTAATTGTTAAATTTTGTTTTAAAATTTAGTTACAATCTTCTATCGAAAAACGTAAAAAAGGTCTTGAATCAACATATAAGAAGTATGATTCTGACATGAATGGTTTTTATCACATGGATATGTCAACAGGAAATGGAAGTTCTTCACCTAACAGTACCTTAGTTTCTGGGCCTCCTAGTCAATTAAAAGTAGATAAAGAAGAGTGGGAAAATGGCTTATTAGCTGTAAAGCATTTTTTTTTTATTTTAGTTATATGCTAAAAGATTTGTCAGAAAAGTTATTTTGTTAAAGACTAATGATTAAACCTTTTTATTGTTGTTTTTTTTTTAATTTACTTTTTGAAATTGTAGAATTAAAATAAAATATTTTTAATGTTTTAGAAATTTAAAGAACTCATTATGAGTGAGTGTGTCCAACTTAGTGTACAAACAAAGTATAATATTCTCACAAAAGCATTAGGTATTATTGCTACTATCAGGGTTGGGTTCAAATGCAATTGATCGAATATAAATGTTAGTTCTAAATTTTCGAATACAAATTCAAATACTAATATATTAAATCAGCATTTTCCAAATACAAATACAAATATTTGTGCTTTAGGTTAAAAAAAATTAAGTTTTTTTTAGACTGATAAAATAATCTACTAAATAGAAGAATTAAAACAAGTCTTCTAACAAATATAACTTAAAAATGATAAGTGTTAAAAATGCAAAAAAGACAACAAAATTTTTCATTTTTTCCCCCCAAAATACAAGGTAACCAGGGTAACAGGGTTTATGGAATTGCAAATACATTTCAATCAAATACAAATACAAGTACAAATGTTTAAGAAGTTTTAAACCAAATACATTACGAATACAGATATGCCAGATTTGCCTGCTTTTACCAAATACAAATGCAAATACATATTTGACCTCAACCCTGGTTACTATTATTAATTTTATTTTGGTCTTTTTTTTTAGTTTTTTAAATTTCACATGATAAATGATTTAAAATTTTTTTTTAGGTGAAATAACATCAGATGCCTCCAGAAAGTAAGTAATAATAAAACAATATAAAAAAATGTCAAATAAGATATGATAAATAAAAATGAACAGTACAAAAATATAATTATCAATAAATTTGTATCTTATGCACACAATATTTATAATTTACAATAAGAGAGGTTTTAAAATAAGAATCTAGGTTATGACTTAAAAAAATATAATTATTTTATATTTTTTAAATAATTTGTAGTTTTTTATTTTAATACATAGCTTTTTATAAGCCAACTGCATTTACACCACATGTACAGTATATATTCGTAATGGGAGAGTAGAGTATGGATATTAAAATAGAAAGTAAACCTTATTGAAAGATTAATGTTAATGATTCATTTGCATTCATTACAAAATTCACAAATAAATTTTTATAATAATTGACAGAAAAAATATTTAATCTTTTTTAGCAATTCAATATCTACTGGAAAAAGAGCTGTAAAGTTGTTTGGTACAAGTCTTAAACAACAGCTGGAAGAAATGAAATGTGAAATTCCAGATATTGTTGAGAGTTGTACAAAGTACATTGCTAAATACGGTCAGTTCCTTCTTATTTTTTTTATAAACTTATGTTTTAAAAAAAAAATTTGATTGGAAATAAAGAAAAATCATTTTTTTTATGGTTGCAAGAAATTTTGAGTTCTAATGACTTTTGAAACATCTTTAATGATGTCATTAACAAATTCATTAATTTGTTTAAAATTCAAAAGTTAAAAATTTAAAACTAAAAGAAATTCTGCATTTAAATAAAAGTATAACTACATGGTGTTACCTAGCCCTGTTAGGTCTTAATATATCCGACATTACTAAATGCTCATAAAATTGAAATTCGCAATTTAATGTTAACACAAATCTTCATCTCTAGCTTTTTAAGTTTGTCAAATTAAATACATAGCTTTGAAAATTATTGCAAAAAAATGTTTTTTAAATATTATTAAAAAAAAAAAGTAACCTAACTTTGAAAAAAATCGCTAAAAGTTTTAGCGATTTTTTTTTAAAAGTTATATATCATTATATATAACTTTGAAAAAAATCGCTAAAACTTTGTTTTAAAAATTTAAAACTTTGAAGAAATTGCTGTTTTTGGCGTAATTTATCTTTAGTTTTGCCAACTACAATTAAAATCTATAATTCTATAATAATATTTAAATCAAAAATTACTTGGGATTTCCCCTGCAAGTAACTTATAAAGATGGTCTCAAATTTTGCAATTAAAGTCTTGTAACGGTATCGAGTACATTATTAAAATGTTAGCAAGAAATAAAGTTCAATCTTTGAAAATAAAACCAATAATATTGTTTGCGAATGATTTCTTTTGTAATCTAAATTACTTATATATATATACAGGCCTCGGCGGGAACAAATGAGCACGAGAGCTGAGAAAAGCTCTCCTAAAACGAATTTGGGGAGCCGTGCGAGCTGCTCATTTAAATTAGCACTCTTTTGTAATTTTAATTATACCTTCATGAGAAAAATTATACTTTTGCGAGAGCCGTAAATTGCTCCTGTAAACTGTTTTAGGGGAGTGTGGGCGAGAGCGAGAGCGAGAGCTAAAGCTCTCCCTTCCCGCCGAGGCCTGTATATATAAAAAAAGATGACTCATTCTTTAAAATGTTTTTATCTTTTTGAAAAAATTAAATTTAATATCAAAAATTAAAACTATATTTTACTAATATACAACATCATTAGAAGTGCACCCATTGGCTTGAAGGAAAAAGGGTGTTATTAGCCCCCTCCTCCTCTAACATAAAAATATGTAATATTCTATTTAAAATTACATTCAAAAAAATATAAAGTCCTATTATTCAAAGTTATAGTTTTAAATCTAAAAGCATCTTTTACCAAGTTTCAATATGCATCAGAGTACTATTTTTACATAGGAAGGGCAGCAAATTCCTATTACCTGAAAATGGTTATAAAAAAAAAAGAACATGCTTTAAAATAATATTTCAGCTTTTTCTGCCTTAGCTTTTAATCATTGATAAGATATTAAATTTGATTAATGAAACTATATAATAATTATTATTAACTATAGACAAAACATGAGTGTAAGCCAGAGCCATCAAAAAAATTATAATTAACATTAGACAAGACATGAGTGTAACCCAGAGCCATCAAAAAAATTATTATTAACATTAGACAAGACATGAGTGTAAGCCAGAGCCATCAAAAAAATTGCTAGTTTAACTATTACTGTTCTTTTTTTTTTAAGTTCTATTACTTGTTGACAATTTTTTAGCAAGTTCCACAACTTGCGGCACATTTTAAATATGAAAATGATGACACAGGTTTTTTGAATTTCTGGAGTATGTTTTGCCTACTTTGTTATTGCATAAAAAAATATTATCTCATATACAAAATACTCAACCTATAAAAACGTTATCTGACAAAATACTAGGAAATTTTTTCAAATGACAGTCAACAACTTCGGTGTCATTTTCATCTTGTGTCCAGCAAGAAATAGTGTAGTTAATGCCTTTTTGTATTTTTTTAAGTTTAATGTTGAATCAGTATCATAGCCAGAGATTTCTTCAATACTTACACATAATATCATTTAAATTATCAATTTGCTAAGTAGACAAGTTTGTAAATGAATTCAGAATTTCTCACTGAGGTTTAGGAAACACAAATATCCCTCTAACTTTTTTTCTTTTATTTCACTTTTTAGGTATTTAAAGTCCGCAGCAGAATGTTGTAGTTAAGCTTTAAACCTTTCTTTTTTTTACTGTTTAAAACATAATTATTTATGCAACAGTTATATATTTAATGTAGTAACTGTTCGATAAGTTATAATATTACTAGGGTAGGGAACACTACAAAATTTTTTTGGAACAAGTGAGTCCTGAGGCCATTTGATGCGCTTAACACGATTATCTGGAAGTTTTTAGCCTATTCACACTTCTTATGTCGGATCACTGGTGTTCCTATTCACACTTTTTATGTTAAAATCGCCATTTTCTAAAGCACATTATTTTTTCTCTTTAAAACAGGCCTAACATTTTTTTATTTTTTTATTTTCTTCAGTAAAATTTAAATGTTTAAATGAAATTTAACTACAAAACTGAAAGGGAATAATACCCAATTAAAGGTGTCTTCGTTATTCCTTATAAATCCAAAAATAAATAAAAAGAAACTTTTAAGAACAACATTCTGCGCAACCTTTGTTAAAGCACTTTGTTAAAGCTACGTTAAGAGAAGAAAGATTTTTTTTCATTTGGTCCTTAAATGTTATAGCGCTTAAAATCAGATCTGAATCTTTCAATCGGTTGATTTCAATTGCAATTTTATTTGTTGCTTGTTTTGCCAACGCCAAACTCTTTATGTTCAAAAGAGGAATTCTTCTGTTGGTTCATAGCAATTTTGTGTTTTCAATCCGTTTGTAATCATTAATTAATGATACTGGACTATAATGGCCATTTGAGATTCTTGATTAAATGAAAGCAATTTCCATTTTTTTAGGATAGGTCTTGTGTGAGTCTTATTGGGGCCAATAATCCGTAAAGCTCTCTTTAGTTGACAAATAAGTTTTGTAACATTTTTAGAGTCACTGTTCCCCCAGATTTCAACATCGTATATCCAGTGGCTTCTAATCAATGCATTATAAAAAAGAACTTTAGATTAGCACGGCAACAGTTTATTAAATCTTTTTAACAGGTAAATGCCTTTGTATATTTTCTTTGACACATGAATTAAATGATGATGCCACTTCAATTTGTTGTCCCACAGGATACCCAAAATGCTAACGCTTTTATTTTTATAATTTTCACCACATTGGGAACCTTGAGAATATGCAACTTTACTTCTACTTTTTTTTTGCTACCAAAAATCATTATTTTTATTTTTTTAGTATGTGTAAGTCCATTAGCTACAAACCAATTACTGACTTTCTCCAATTCTTTGCAACATAATTTTGTAACTCATCAATCGAGTCAGCCTTTGCAACCATTGTTGTATCATCAGCAAAAAAATAGGTGTCAAGCTCTGTTGCACCCGGGAGATCATAAATATAAATTTTAAAAAGCAAAGGACCCATACATTTTCCTTTCTTTAGATGTATAATTTCCAAAAACAACTGCCTGCCTCCTGTTAAATATGAAGAAATCCATTAAAGTTTTTTCTTCTGCACCAATGTTTTTGAGTTTGTTATAAATAATGGAATGCACGCAACTGTCAAAAGCTTTTTTTACATCAATTAATATGACTGCTACAATTTTTTTTGGTTTCTATAACTTGTTATTTTATTGAGAAGTTTCAAGTTTGCATGGATTGAATTGCATCACTTTTTGCAGCCAAATTGATTTTTTTTTTTTTTTTTTAATTTTAATTCACCTCCTCAAGGCCGAGAAGGCCAGCCTCAGAGGAGGAGGCTACTTATTTGTGGTTTCGGTTAACTCCGAAACACGAACCTTGACGAGCAAGGCTGCTGCACGGAGAAACGAGTTGAGTGCGGTACTACCAGGTACGTGGTGGGGATCGAACTCGGAACCACTCGTTTATGAAGCAAGCGCTCTACCACTACACCTCTACCGCATATTTATTCGAATGATTTCGTTATCCTCAAGATTCATCTCAATTTGATGTAGTACAGCTTTTTCAAATAATTTTGATAATGTTAGTAATACACTTATCGGTCTGTAATTATCTATAACTGTTTTATTTTTTAAACAGGTTTTATCTTTGCTAGTTTCATATCTTCGGGGAAATAGCCAGTACTAATCGATTCGTTGATCATTTTCGTTAAAAAATTTGTGCATCCTGATAAGCAATATTAAATAAACTTGTTACTAAATAGGTCAAAACCACAACTACTTTTAGGAAATAAATCATTAAGAATTTGCATAGTTGACTGATTAAAAACTGATTTTAAGTCCCAAGTAACATCGTAAGGTGGAAGATTTATTCCAATGAACCATTACCAATAATGGTTCATTGGAATAAAGTTGCTTGGTCTTAGCTCAAGCGAAGTATCTGTAAAGTGATCTATAAATAAGTTAGCTATTTCAAGTTCTGATTCAATTAATAAATTATTTTTTTCAAGTTTTATCAAATCACCATTACAATCCACGTTTTCTTACTGTCGCCTTTACAGATTATCAGCTGTTGCTTTAAGAGGTAATTTTTTTGAATATAGATTTTTTATAACTTTTCTTACTTTGAACTAAGATATGCTTTAAATCATGTCTTCCACTTCTAACTTTAGAGCTTAAATTTGTAATAAACTTTCTCGATTCAAGCAATTCTCTGTGCATCCACTCTTTTTTTGGTAAAAATTTCTGATTTTTTGACGTCTAACTCAATTTATCCTAAAATTCAGAGAATAGTCAAATAACATTGTTTATAAAAAACAAATTAGTATTATCGTAAAATAATTGAATTTGAAAACATTTGGACCAAATAGTCGGCGGCATGCATAATAAAATGATGAGAGAAATATAAATGGTTAATGATAAAGTAAATATGAAAGTATGAATGCAGGTATAAGGGAAGGGGGTTATTCAAAAGCAGTGTATAATGAAGGGGGTGTTAAAGAGAGCGAGTACATATGCAGTTTGACTTTTTTTTTTTTTCCTATCTCTCCTAAAACTTGATTTAAAAAAAAAAAAAAAAAAAACATGGAACTTCACAAGTTTAAAAGTCATTATTATGTATCATATCAGATATGTTAAATTAAGTCTCATCCTTTTTCTGTGATTATTTATAAGTGCTCCAAAAACTCTTATTAGTCTAGTTTTTTTCTCGAACATCAGTTCTTTGGAGTTAGCTTCCTTCATCTTGCTTTCCTGATTCATATAATTTGCAATATTTTAAGTCGTCTGTCAATCGTTATCTTACTCTATAAACTTTGTCTTTTCTCTTCCAGTAGCTTCTATCTCTAATAGTGGTTGCTTGCAGCCTTGTAAAAAGCAAAGACATTAAAAAAAAAATTTTTTTTATTAATGTTTTGAAAAAATTATGCGTTGATGAGGGGGTTGATTATGTAATAAATAATGAGTGCGTATAAAGGAGGGTAGTTTCGTTGAAAGCATACAGTTGGAAACAAGGGGGGAGGAGATTATAAATCAGTGGTTTTACTGTGTACATACTTTATGGATACCCCCACATGCCATTTAGTATTTTATGTATATAATTATAAATAAATCAATTTGTTATTTATATAATTATAAAAAAAGTTAAATAAATATTTTGATCCAAGGTGAAGTAACACAAATAGATTTGATTTCATATAAAGAAATTAAGAATATTTTTAATAACATTTTAAATTATAAATTATATTTTTGATTAATTTTGTTAATTCACAATTTATTGATTTTTTTATTATATTTTATTTTATTTATTTATATTATACTGTTTTGTTTTTATAGTTTTTATTTTTTTTACTTTTTATTTTATTAATAGCATTTTATTTTGTTATATTTATATTTTTTATACTATATATTACATTTTTATATTATATTGTTTTATGCTTTTACTTTTTCTCAAGCATATAACTTATTAATGACATCACTACATGAGTATCGAGATGCTGTGTTTGTTTGGTTCAACAATATAAACATTTATGAATATTATTTTAAGTTGTTTTTTTAATAATGAAAAATATAAAAATATTAAATTGTTTTTATAATTATTTAATATATTTTAATTTTTGTTGTTATTGCATATCTTCATTTCAATTTAGGATTAAAACATCAAGGTATTTTTCGGGTACCTGGAGCATCACAAGAGATAAATGAAATGAAAGTTGCATTTGAAGAAGGTTTCCAAATATTTTCAGTGTTGTTTAATAGTTCTATGGTTTTTATATTAGATAGAACTTGCTTCACATAAAAAAAATTGTGATTAGAATTTTACCTAAAGTCTTCTTGTTTTTAATTTTTGCCTGTTAACTCGTAATGACATGTAATGATTTTTTATGATCATAAGTATTTTTTCATAAGAATACTTAGCTAATAATCACTACTCATATTTATGTGAGTATAGATAAAGACTTTTTTTAATTTGTTTATTTTTTTTTTCAAGAAATGGTTTTAGTTTGAAAAAATCTATTTGATTAAGTTCACTGAAAAAATGAGTATTGATATAGGTTTCTATGTTGTATATTTACAATACCAACCTGTTTCTATACATACTGATTATAGAAACAGGTTGCTATAGTGAAAATGTTATTAAATGTTCAATTTAAAGCTTAAAGTTGTAATCGACTACTTATAAGTTTTTGCAACGAAATTGCTTAAAATAATTTTGTTTAATATGCTATGTGGATCATATTGCTGTATATCATATGCGTATTTTAAAGATTTTTAAATGCTTTTACAATTTTTTTATTTTCACAATTGCTAAAAAAGTTAAAGTGAACTATGTTAACTTATACGAGCTATAAATTATGAATTAAAGCATACACACTGACCATAGTTTGGCTGTATGTTTTATTGGTAGTTCTCATAAAAATCATAAAAAAGTTTTGTGGTTTTTATGATGAAATTTTGATTATTGTATTATTGAAACATAATTATATTATTAAATATTTTATCTTATGTTTTGATTTGATTTTTATTAATACTGTTAAATATTTGAGGCGCTAACTATATTCATGTTGAAAATATTATACATAAGTTGATGTTTTTAAGACATTTAATTTTAATTCACCTCCTCAAGGCCGAGAAGGCCACTACAGACGAGGAGGCTACTTATTTGTGGCTATAAGCCTCTCTCAACTCTATAACTTCGAAACACGAACCTTGACAAACAAGGCTGCTGCATGGAGAAACGAGCTGAGCGCGGTACTACCAGGGACGTGGTGGGGATCGAATTCGGAACCACTTGTTTATGAAGCGAGCGCTCTACCACTACACCACTATCGCATAATTTCATTAATATGATTAAATGTATTAATTGCAGTCTGAAAACTTTTATTACAGTGTAGCCAGAAAAATATGCATCAAATTTTTTATGTATTATAGTTTTAAGCATTTAACTTTACAGTCTAAATTATAAATAAATATAAAATTACAAACTTAAGTTACAAGTACAAATTTAAGTTAAAAGCTACTGTATTTATTGGAAAATGTTGTTGTATTATTCAGTATAATTAAAACATAATTTAACTTATGCTTTCTTAGACAAAACAAGCTGGAGGTTCTTTTTCTTTTTACAGATGTCAAAAAGTTCTTGAAGACTCTTGATTTCTTGTTCTGCACAATGATTTGTTTTACGAATTTCCAGTGTTTCCATTCTTTATTTTTTTGTCTTTTTATTTTTTTGTTAAATATTTGTAACTGACTGACAATTACATTCCTACTTCCAGTGTCTACATTCGTAGTGTCTGCTACAATTATCTTTATTTTGTTCCATAAATTGTATTTATCAAGAATAACTGTTATAACTTCCAGTTATATTTTCCAATGATTAATCTTCTAGAGAAACAGTTCTTCTTTCTTATGTGATTTATAAAATTCTTTATCTGGATTGTCTTGTTTCTTTCTGTTGTGGAAGTACTTTTCATATAGGGCATTATGATTAAAAATGATACTTGGTATATTTCTGAAAAGCAATAAGAATAAATAAAAGTGCCACTGTACTTCTATATTAATTGACTGCCATCTGGAGAATACAGATTCATATAAAATTATTAGTTCTGCTCAATTAGACATTTTAAATAATTATAATACTAAATTATTTTTTCCAGTTTAGGATGTTGAATGCTGGATCTTCTTGACTCATTGCATGAGTTTTGCTTGTGCCTCTTGGGAACTTATTCTATTATCTTCTCAAGAGAGCACAGCTCTAAAACTCAGTTTTATGGTTCTGAGGCCGGCTAGTAGTCAAGTTTCCTGAACTCTGTGGTAGCTCTTTGGAGCTCCAAACCATAACAAAAAGGCTCCATATGTGGTCTTGACAATGCAAAAAACTTTTTTTGTTTGGAGCTCCAAGCTCTTTAGGCTTGGAGCTCCAAACAAGAAAAAAACAAAGAGCTCCAAACATTTAGGGCCCTTTGTTATGGCAACTGCTTGGGCTATTAAATAGTGTACTAAGCACTATCTTGGGCTTAGAGTCATGTCCTTTAACCAATTTAAAAACTATAAAATACAAAAAACCATTCTTATCACCAAGTTCTCTAAATCTATCATTCACTATTAAGTTCTCTAAATCTATCATTCAACTTTCTGTTGAATCATCTCTTCCAATGTTCACTAGACCTACTTGCTCAATGTGAGATTAATTTGAGTTCAGCTGTCTCATTTTGCAATCTTAATGTTGATGGTTATCTTTTTTTAATTCATAAAGACCCCAATAGTCACATGCTTGGGCATTTACATCTGTTAAAACTCACCAATTTGTGAAACTAGTTTAAACTAAGTCCGCAGACTATTCTTTTATGTGCTTTTGTTTAGCACCACTTCACTCTATCGTAACTCTTTGTTCGCCTTACTCTTTGTTCTATATCACTCTCCTTAATCTCAAGACTGCACTCTTTTTGATGTTATTACTGGTCAAATTGACCAAGACATTTCTCTTTATTCTTCAGCCAATATCGTTGTTTTTGGTGACTTTAATGCTCATGACACTGAATGGCTTGACTCAAGTGTCAGTGACTCTGCAGGCATTAATGCCCACAACATTTGTCTTTCTCAATCTTTAAAACAAATAGTCAACATTCGAACTCATTTTTTAGACAATCTAAATCATTTACCTTCTCTACTCAACTTATGTCTTGTTTCTGATTCTAGTCAGTGCTCAGTTTATCCACATTCAGCCTTATGTGCTTCTGATCACGGTTTGATTTCTCTAAAACTATCATAGTACCTCTTATAACTAACTTAAAGCTGACTGGATTTTTTCCGTGATTTTCTTCATGATGGCTCTTTTCTATAAATACTATAGTGGGCGTTGCTCTAAAAAGCTAGTGTCTCTACTAAAATTCATTCTTGTTTTACTCATTCAATTAAGTCTCATCTTTTTACTGTGACTGTTCCGAAGTGCTCCACAAATTATTTTTTGTTAAGATTTTTTCCTCTAACATCAGTTCAGTAATTCGATCTCTTCATCTTGTTTTCTTGGTTCAACTTCATCTTTTCTCTTCCAGTAGTAACTCTAATAGTGGTTGCTTGCAGCCTTGTTGTAAGTGAAAATGTTTAAAAAAATTATATATGTGTGTGTATATATATATATATATATATATATATATATATATATATATATATATATATATATATATATATATATATATATATATCTGTCTATACATATGTATATTTAAATTGAATAGTTTCTGTGTTTTTTTTTTCTCATTTTATGAAGTTCTTGATTTACTTTTAATTTAGTTTATTATTAAATTTTTTACATTTTTATTACATTTTTATTTTTTTTATGTTTATGTTTAATGTTGATAATTAAGCTAAATAAAATAAACAAAGGTTTTTAGAAATAAATTGTTTTTTAAATTGTAGTAACAAATAAAATTTAGTTTCAAAGTTATTTAGTTTCAAAATGTTTAAGTTATTTTGTTGCTTCCATTTTATTATATTATCAAGGTTGATTTATTTTTACTATAGGTCGCAATCCGTTGTCAGGTCTTAATCATTGGAAAGATATTAATGCAGTTGCAGGAGTATTTCGGTTGTACTTTCGTGAGATGTGCGAGCCATTGTTTCCCATAATTTTAAATCAAGAATATTTACGTGCTAGTAGTGAGTTGTTATGTTCTTAATTGTTAAAAGTTAAAAGTGTTTTTAAGATGTTCTTATTAAATAAAATATTGAAAAAATATTATCCTTAGAGTGAAGAAAGAACTTTTTTTGTAGTTAATCATTTACAGTAGCATGCAAAAGTTTAGAAACACCTACATTTTTTCAGTTTTTAACGCATAACTTTTCACAAACTTTCTCAAATAACCTGAAATTTTTACCAAATGTGCTCTATATTATAACAATTCAAAATCCATTTCAAAAAATTTTTTAAACTCACCGGTCAATTAATTTTAATTGTTTTTTTGAAAAGGCTTCCAGACAATGTTATATATACAGACAATATTATGAAAAGAACAAACTATTTGGTGTACGTCCTGATGAGAAAACCAATTTTTAAAGGGGATCAGAGCAACTTTTTACCCCTCTTCTTGCCCCCCTTTATTTATTAAAAAAAAAAAAATTATGCTATCTTTAGAAAAATCAAGCATCAGTTACATATTCAAAAATTCAATAAAAAATATCTTGGCGTTCAAAAGATATAACCATTTAAAGTAAAACTACAAAAAATTAAGTTTACTTTACATTAAAATATAGTGTAATACTCATGATATAATAAAACCTAATCTGCAATATTATTGTATAACATTGTATAACATAATAAAATTATATTTTATTTTATGGAAAAATGTATTGTTAAATTATTTAATTAATCTGAAACAGTATAATATAATCCATAATATATACTGATATAATGTAATCTTCAAAACTATATAATATAACATACAAGATATGAATAATTATGTAATCAATAGCAAAGAAAGAACCTAAATTCTATGACTTGAATATTCAAGAAGCTCTACATGGCTCTCTGAATTCTGAAGTTGAGAATCTGATCAGTGTTTTCAACATATTATGATGAACAGATTCAGAACATTGTTCAGAAAATACTCCCAATGGCAGCTTAGTTCTATTTAAAAACATGACAAGATGGTGTTCAATTATATGACCTTTCCATCCCATAGAAAGATTGTGGTTGAATGTAGTCTTCACATACTCTTGGTTTTCCTAAATTAATAACTTATAAGATGGCACTTAATATAAACAAAAATTAAAACTTTATTTTTAAATGTATTTTTAAATTTTTAAGCATTTATGTAACTATTACCTTTAACTTCCTAATATATGTTGCATTGGCATCAGCATAACCGTCATGCAGTTTCATTCCAAAACACATGTTTACTACTAAATGTAAATTTTAGTGTCATTTGTGAGAAATTGCTTTTGATTCAATAAATATTTCTTTTTAAATCATAATTAACATTTAATATATAAATACTAAAATTAAGTAAATTTAAAATTTACCTGAAAAAAAAACTAACAGTTCAACAACTTGATGGTAAGAAGAAAACTTATCTGAATAAATTTTTCCAAATCTGGCAAAAGTCTCCATATTTTGTTAGCATTTCTACCATCCAGTCCACCTCCATTATACCAATGCCAAATAATTCCGTGTTTTTTTAACCCAAGAGCAACATCAGGTTCCTTACATTTGAAATTTCTGTTATAATCTTCATCATTAAATGGAGTTCTGGAGGAGGGATGATATCAAACACATACATCTCTCCAGACTCAACCAGGAGACATGGATGTATAACATTCTAATAGAGCTGTATAGAGCTTTTTTCTAAATCCACTTTCAGCAAAGTTTTTATACATGTTCTTTAGCATATTAAAGGTTCTCAGTTCTCCAAGATTAGTTTTATCACCATCACAAAATAAACATGAATATTTTCCCCCATGTCCTGACAAACCCAAAACTATGTTGCATAATTTAAGATCTGCAGCAAGGTAAAACTTTAAATTGTTTAGCTTTGTTTTTTCTATAAGAATTTGAAGATTTGTGTGGCTTTTGCAAACATTTTTGGCAAAAGCCAATATTATAACTTTGTTCACTCTAGTATTCTTGGTTTCTTTAGAGTCATAATTTACTTCTTTGTTAAAAACATTCATAATAACTTATTCCTACACGAATAATAACATTCTTGATTTCTAGTCCCCTAGCAATGCAAACATGATTAACTAGAGATACTGGATCTTTGACATACACTAGATCTTTAATGACAGTTTCAATAATTTTATTTTCTTTAACTTTATTTTTGGATAAAAATTCCACTTTTTCTACTGAGTAATAGTTATCTAAGGTATGTGACATTATCTTTTTTTGGAAGAATTAGATTCCACACCTAATCTACCCAAATCTTTTCTTAATTCCATTGCTATTGAATCAATAGTACAGTCTGACAAATCATGCTTTCTTTTGATATTATAGAAAGTTTGGGTAGAGATAGTTTTAAGGGTTGGCTTTTTCCCTATCTGCAGACTTAAAGGAGTTCCTCTGGTCAACAATGTAACAGTGTTGTCTAACTCAATATTTTTAAATTGTTGAATTTCTTTCAGAAATGTGCTCAACTGTTTTTAAACCTGAAAATTTGTAAATATGTTTTAGGATTACGTAAAAATTTAGGTTTAAAAAAACTATAATTAAGCTCTTACCTGTTGACATAAGCAGTGTTTTTAGGTTCTGTACAATGTCTCTCTTATTACAGGGATGTTGAATTCCAGATCCAATTCTCTGATAACAAGTACAACAAATTTTATCTATAACCTCCTTTGGTACTTCAGGGTCATTAATGTACATGTTTAATACATCCTAAATAAATAAAAACTATACTTATTTAAAATATACTTATTTAAACTATTATAAAAGTTATAATTTTATAAATATTTTAAACGTAATTAATTGAGCTACATATATGAGTTCTTTATAAATTACCTGAAGGTTTATAGATTTAGATTTATCTCTTGACATGATACAGAGCAGGAAATCACATATTGAAACTGTCTCACCTATATTTATATATATAAACAAATGTTTATTCATTATCTATAGCTTTTATTATATGTATAAGTAAAAGTATTACCTTTAAATCTTGGATGTAACTTTATTCTCTCTGATGTGAGCAACTACCTCTCTAAAGTAACAAGTGATAAAGTTTCTCCTTTTTTAGCTGAGTACAAATAAATCTTGCAGCTTGGACATAACCCAATAGCTTTGGAAAGAAGTGTCAAATTATAGTTAGTGTTGGCATACAGTTGAATCTGATCCCCTTTAAAAATTGATTTTCTCATCAGGACATACACCAAATAATTTGTTCTTTTCATAATACTGTCTGTATAATAGTCCTGAACACTTTGTAATAAAATTTTTTTAAGTAATCAAATTTTCAACCTAAACAACGTAGAATTGACTAGTGAAGAATGTACCCGATAAACAATATATTGGCATAACAGAGGGTGAATGGAAAAAACGTTTTGCCAAACACAAGCAATCTTTTAAAAATAAAAAGTATTCAAAAGACACTATGCTGTCAAAATATATATAGGAACTAAAAGATAAAAATATTGATGATTTTATACTGAATTGGTCCATCCTTAAAACAGCGCCTGCATACAACAATATTTCCAAAAAATGCATACTATGTCTACAAGAAAAATTTCAAATAATTACACATGCAAACCAAGAATGTTTGTTACACAAAAAATCGGAATTGATTTCTAAATGCAGGCACGAAAATAAGTTTCTCCTAAAAAACTATAAAAAGAAGTGAGCTCAAATAATAGTTACATTAAATCCCCCCTTTTTTTTTAAATATTTTTATAAAAAAAAAAAAAAAAAAAAGCATAATTAAATCATTTCTAAAGAATTCTTTTTATAATAGTGTCAGCAAATTCCACAAATGTGTGAAAATTTACAGTAGTTAAAACATTTGCGACTTCCTGTAATTTAATTTTTTGGTATAAATTGAAGTTTTATTAATTTGATCATTCATTTCTGATGAGTCTTTGTTGATGAAACACAGTGTAAAATAAACAAAATTTTTGGTAAGTGATTTTCTACTAATTTATAATTGCTCTGTTCTTTTAAGAACATTGAGCACTCTATTTTGTAGAATACATTTTTTTTTAAATTGTTTATACATATATATATATATATATATATATATATATATATATATATATATATATATATATATATATATATATATATATATATATATATATATATATATATATATATATATATATATATATACATATATATATATATATATATATATATATATATATATATATATATATATATATATATACATATACATATACATATACATATATAAATAGTATAAAAAAAGTGAAAAAAAAAACAGAACGGGGACAAAAATAACATATATAAAATGGCTTTGCATATTAGCTTGTTGTGATTTTGATGTCATAAAATGATCTTCTTTTTATTTATTTAGGGACATAAACTTTGTTAAACTATTGCAATAAAATAAATTACCTCTCAATTAATTTATTAATTAGGAAGAACAAATCTATTAGGGTTATTTTGTAAATATGTATTGTGAAAAGTCTACTTGTTTCAATTTTTTTGTTTTTTAATATTAATTAAATTTGATATGGCATTTTTTATTATCATTTAGCAAATATAGTCCTATTAGTCCTATTATAAAAAATAGTCCTATTATAAAAAAACCATTCATTCATTTATTTGCAATTTTCAGCAAAACTTACGAGAAAATAGATAAAAAGATTTAGAGAAAAATAAAACAAATTGACAAAGTGCAAATGAAAGAAAAACTGTTCATATTTAAATACATAATTTATTATTGTATTAAAATAATATAAATTTTTTTTTATTAAAGTAGTAATAAAATAAGAACTTCAATCTTTTAAGGATTTAAGGATTTTAACCATCAGTAAAATAAAGTTAATTTAAATAAGTAAAGCAAAAAACTTAATGAATATAATTTATGTTGTTATGTTATGTTACATACGTTACATTACATACGTTACATGAATACATTTGTCAACAAATAGAATTAATGAGTTCAAGATTGTTAAAGCAGAAAAATTACTGTTTCTGTTAATATTTATTAAATAAATTATTTATTAATAAATAATAAATAAAAGTTTTAACAATGATAAATTTAATATATACTGAATATACTATAACTAGCAGAATTAATAATATAAAACTATTAATAAATTTTTAATTTTTAAATATTAAATTATACTGATATAAATTATTAATAAGTTTTTAATTCTTAATTATGGAATTGTATTGATAAAAGAATTTTTAAAATGTTTTTGAAACAAAGTTAAAAACCATTCAGTATTCTTCAAAAGGATTAAAGAAAAAGTTTGCTAAAACTTCTTTTTGCTTTCAAACTTTTCTTTTTCTACAACCTGCTAGCAATTAAAGTAGCATATCATAAACAAGAAAACTAGTTTAAACTCTTTTTCAAAATATAATCAATTTTAGGGGGCCAATTTTTGACCTCCTCCTCCCTTTGTCACCGGTTGTCCTTTTTCCTTAAACCCCCTTCGAAAAGGACGTCATAAAATCCTGACCCCCCACCACCTATTTTAAACCCAAAAAAATTTACTTCATCTTGTTTGAATCTGCTGCTACACCTTTAAAAAATAAAATTAAAAATATTCTCATACACTATCTTCTTAAAAATACATGTTTACATAGTTTTTCATGTTAATGAAACTAAAATAAAAAATCTATAAAGTGACGTCCTTTTCTGACAACCTCTTCCTCCCCTTGTCCTTTTTTGTCCTTTTTATCTCGACTCCCTCCCCATTTGGATGACATCCTTTATGAATGGCCTCTTATTTAATTTTAGTATATCCCTTTTTCTAAGTAAAATCCTTATTATTTGTCAAACTTTATTTTTTTTCAACTGGTCAACCCCGACTGGCAGGAATTCATTTTGGGAGGTCAAAATAGCATTTTTTTCTCATTTTAGGCAGTTATTGACCGTTGACCGGCCAATATATCTTTATATATATATATATATATATATATATATATATATATATATATATATATATATATATATATATATATATACATATATATATATATATATATATTATATATATATGTATATATATATATATATATATATATATATATATATATATATATATATATATATATATATATATATATATATATATATATATATATATATATATATATATATATGTATATATATATTTAAATATATATATATATATATATATATATATATATATATATATATATATATTATATATATATATATATATATATATATATATATATATATGTATATATATATATATGTATATATATATGTACATATATATATATATATATATATATATATAATATATATATATATATATACATATATATATACATATATATATACATATATATATATATATATATATACATATATATATATATATATATATATATATATATATATATATATATATATATATATATATATATATATATATATATATATATATATATATATAAATATATATACACACACACACACAGAGACACAGACACATATATATACACACACAGACATCTATAAAATATATAAACACATAATCAAAAAAAATATCCCAAAAAATGACATGACTTGTAGTTTGACACATTTTTGTGAGAGCTATGTAGAAACACATGTATGCATAGATTTTAACTATAGTCAACTCATTTTTTGGTTTATGAAGTTTTATTATTTGCAATTTTTAAATAGGCATAACTCGAGCTGCCGACCAAATTGCTGAAGCTTCTAGTATTTTAAAGAAGATAGAAACATGGAACCTAAATGTTATCAAATATATTTTGAAATTTCTTAATTTGTAAGTAATTCAAGTTTAAAGTTTTATAAAATTTTGCAGGAAAAATGATAACTGCATCTAAAAATGATTTTTATATATTATAAAAAAATCATTACCAGATACATAAATTAATTCAAAAAAACATTTGCAAGTTTCATGCCAACTTCTACATTAAAAGCAATAGTTTATATCAAATTTTTCATAAATGTTATCAAAATCATAAGTTTTTCAACACTCCTAAAAAAACTTTAAATAAAAAACTAAAAAAATAAGACAAAAATCTTGAATAGCAAAACTTTGTTCATTTTTGCTATTTAATGTGTTTTGACCTTTGCAAAACTACAACAAAACCCATATATACATAAACATAAAAATGTTATATAATCAAAGTTTAAATGAAGTTGAAAAGTTGAAAAGAAAAATCTTATATAATCAAAATGTTATATAATCAAATCATATAAATAAACAGAAAAATGTTATATAATCAAAGATATTTAGAAGTCTCCACTAGTGCTTATTTTGTTTAACAGAATAAAATATTGAGAAAAAAATAAACAAATAAAATAAGTCAATATAATTTTTATATTTAATGAAGCTTTCATGTTTAATTCTTTCATAAAGACTTAATGATCTCCTTCATAAAATGCTTATGTTTTCAATAATTTTTATCTTTTCTATTTTGAATTAAGGAAACCTTAGAAAGATCTACTTTTTACCCTTTTTTTTTTTTTTTCTTTTCAAAAATGTGATAATGTTTTTAAAACTTCCAGTTAAATATGTAATTTTAATGCTTCAATTAAAAATAATAATATTAAGCTAATTAAAATTAGTTTGATTTTTAAGAACCCTTCTAATATTTACATTTTAAGTTATCATCATTTAAGATGCATTTAATGATGGCGATTTAAGATTGCATCTTAAATCATTTAAAATGGTTATTTCTTAATTTTAAAGATATTAAATGCACCCAGCTATTATCTTTTAAAAGTCCTCTGAGGCAAGACATTAGGGGTTAGCAGAATAATTCTGTTAACCAGCCTCAAATCTTTTCTTCATCTATTAGGCTGATGTAATTGTAAACCTGTGATTCCCGCCCGCGCAAATCATCGTTTCCTGTCTAGGATAATGAATGATCTTCTTGACTCTACTCTTACATTTTTGCTTGTGCCTTTTTGATAGTGAATATGCACTCTTCCTGTTACCTTTTTTAATCTCTCCTGTTTTCACCTAATGAGAGAACAACTCTAAAACTCAGTTTAATAGTTATTAAGTCAGCTGGTAATAAGGTTTCCCAAACTCTGTGGTGGCTCTCAGAGAGGCTGCCATTTTGTGCATGAATGGTGTCCTTGTTAATGCTTTAGTGTGCATTTTGAAACTCACATAAAGATCTCTAACTTAAAACTCTAAGTTTATCAGCAGAACTGAGACAACTGCATAGCTCATTGCTATATAAGTAACACAATATATTAAACATAAAAACTTCTTCTTTGGGCTCACTCTATCATTGCACTACTTACTGCTACCCTAAAACTGACTGGGATTCTTTTCCTGATTTTCTTCCTGGTTGTCCTTGGACTAATATCTTTTCTCTCTCCACTGATAAATGCACCTCCTACGTAACCTCCTGGATCCAGGCAGGAATGGAAGTTTTTATTCCTTATTTCATGGTTTTAAGTCTCATTCTACTTCCTGGTTTTCAACTTCTTGTGCAGCTGCATATCTAGTTTAGTCAATAAAACAACTCTCTTGAGAACAAACACCTGTTTATTATTGCAAGAAATCAATGTAAAAAGTTGATATCTGATGTTAAGCTCCATTATTCCTAAGTTACTAAATCTCCTATCTCACCTCAGAAGTTGGGCTCCAGAGACTTTTGGGAAAACTTCAACATTGTCATTAACAAAGGTAGTTTTTACATTCTCTCTCATTTATGGGACTGATCTTATTCCTCTACCATGGATTAGGCTGAACTATTTGCAAAGACCTTTTTTTTCTAATTTGACTCCTGAATTTTATGGCCATACTCTTCCTTTTGTTCCAGTTAAACAGGTTACCCCATTGCTAGACATTTAAATCACTCTAACTTCCATTGCTAAAGTTATATCTCAATTTCTACGGCTTGTGGTACAGACAACATTTCATCTTACAAAAGTGTTCTCCAGAACATTCTTTAATTCTCTCTAAACTATTTAATAAATGCTTGAATGAAGCTTGAAATGGCATCTGTGGTTCAAATTTTTAAAAACTATGGATAAACATTTTCATCCCTCCAACTTTCATCTGATCTATTTTCTTTATGTTATCAGCAAGGTATTTGAGCTTTTGATCAACAAATTTCTAACATCCCAACTTGAGTCAAATAACTTACCGTCAGATAATCAATATGGTTTTCCATCATCTTGCTCTAGGGCTGACTTGCGAACTGCTGTGACTGAAAGATTTTATTGTGCATTAAATACAGGTGGCAAGGCTAGGGCTATTGCTCTTGACATATTTAAAGCTTTAGATAATGTTTGGCATGCTTGTCTTCTCCATAAGCTTGCTTCATATTGTGTAAATATTTGAGAATAACAAATTATTTCTTTCAAACTACTTTATCAAAATCATCCTTGAAGGCCAATACTCTTCTTCATTTTCAGTAACTTCTGTTGCCTCAATCTTCTATTCTTGGTCCTGTAATGTTTCTTATCTACATTAATGATTTTCCTGACAATCTTACATTTGAAGTTTACGTCTATTTACTGATGATTCATTCCTATCTTGATAAAAAGTCTTATCTTTTCGATTGCTTAGAAGGCAGATCTTGAATCTGAACTCATATGTAATAGATTGGGGTATGCAATGGCTTGTGAATTTTACAAACAACTATCACAATGCTGTCAACATTTCTATATTGACAAATAACAACCCTCTCACTGGGTCCTCTTTTTTATACCTTCTTGGATTATCGTTCACTACCGACCTCTCATGGGTACCATATAATCAATCAGTGGCTAAGTTAGCATCTGTTAAGGTTGCACTTCATCCATTTGGAACTCTCTCCCATCATCATGTTTTCCTGACTTATTGAATCTACAAGTTTTAAAGTCTTCTGTCAATCGTTTCCTTGCTCTTATCTCTGTTGTTTGTTTTCTAGTAACTCCCAATTTAATAGTGGTTGCTTGCAGCCTTGATAAGTGTAATTAAATTATATGATATTAATATGATATTAATATGTTAAATCAGCTAAATAATATTTTTAGAATTTCTCAGCATTCAGAAATCAATAAAATGACATCACATAATTTGGCTGTAGTGTTCGGACCTACTTTGATTCGTCTTCCAGAGAATGAAAATCTTCTAACTAACCAAGGACAAATGAATATATTTATGGATGTTCTTATTAATGATTTTTATCAGATCTTTCCTGAGGAACATAATGATTTATTTTTTGAAGATTCTGTTGACGGTAATTTAGATGAAGAAGAAGATGGTGGAACTGAAGATGAACTTGAGAGCGAAGATGGTAAGGCTATTTTGAAATTTTGGGTATAGTAAAATTTAAAATTTTTTCAATGAATTTGATATTTAAAAGTTTTTTAAATCTAAAAAAATAGTTATATGCATATATCTCAAATATAATATAAATATATCTACTTTTAATATATCTATTTTTCTAAGTTTATTATTTTTTAATTATTTTTTTCCCATTTTATACCAAAATGCTGTCATCCCATCGTATTGGTATTAATGTGAAAAAACTGGTGATGAGTTTTTTCACATTCAATCTAAGTTCTAAAATCTAATACAAAGAAACAAAAACATTTTGGCTTTAAAATAGAAGGAGCAAGATACCAATTTAATAATAAGTGGTAAAAGTAAAAATAAATATGAATTATGTAATATATATAAATTATGTAATAAATATAAATTATTTGATAAATATAAATTATGTAATAAATATAAATTATGTAATAAATATAAATTATGTAATAAATATAAATTATGTAATAAATTATAACAAATTTAATTCATTAAAGTAATATAATTCATATAATTCATATAATTCATAAGTAATTTTTTATAATATAATATAATTCATATAATTCATAAAGTAATATAATTCATAAAGTAATTTTTTGCTTTGAGTATTTTAAAAAAGCAACTTGATGGGGTTTTTTTTTAGCAAAAATCAGTTAAATTTTTCAATTTTTTTTTACATACTTTAATATTTTTATATTGTTGTTATTTTTAAATGGTAATAGTCATTGTTATGATAAAACATTTTTATGTAGAACTTGTTGAAGCTATTGCATTATATCCTTACACTGCTCGCACCAGCAAAGAGGTTTCTTTTAATAAAGGTGATGTTATTCAAATTTTTTCTCGAACTAACAATGACTGGTGGGACGCAAAGGTTAACGGTCAGTTTGGTTTTGTACCTGTTTCTTATCTTAAAGTTGTTGAAAGAACTTCGTCTCTTACTTCTGATTTAAATGAGGAAAATAAAAAATATATAAAAAGATCAGCATCATTAGATACAGCTGAAGAAGTTATTGAAACTCATATTGAAAGTAATGTATTTGCTGCTCTTGATCCAACAATAGAATCATCAACAGATTCGCGTCGTACTGCTAATGATCGGCTACCTAACTCCCCACGAACTAATATTCCATCTCGAACGCTGAGCGAAAAGACTCATAATCGAATACCTATACTACCGCAATCAAAACCAATGGTCATTTCTCAGCAAGATATTCAGTCAGCAAAGTTGAAAAGTAGCAATTACGATGGCGAAACTTCAAAGTCTTTGGACCGGTCTAATTTTTCTAAAAACACTTTTAACGAAAAAAGTAAGCCTTGTGATACTCCAGTGTTTTCTAGCAGCCTAGCTAGACAATCGCCTGTAAGTTCAGACTCAAGACCAAATATAGCCACTGGTAGGTCGGTCCAAGGCTCTATAATTAAAGAAAATCCTGGACGTTCAGATCCTATACCTAGTTTTAAGCCTCCCCCTCCGCCTGCCTCTAAACCCAAAGGTCTTTCAAAAAAGGGTGACCCTAATTCCGAACTTGCTGCTACAATTCACGCAGCCGCTGCTGCAAAAGCTCAAAGAAATCCAAATTATTGTGAAGACTCCAAAGAGCTGACACGTTTTTAGTTTTTTTTTGTTTTTTTAATAATTTTTCGTGTTGACTAAACCTCTACGAAATGTTCACAATGGTAAAGATAGAAAAGTTGTCTCATGAAACGGCGCTCCAATGCAAATTATTTAGTTCTCAGCACACTTTAAAAAGATATCACTTTACTACGTTTATAGATGTTATCTAATTGCTACGATAATAGTTTAATAATATAGCGACTGACGATTTTTCAATAATATTTAGCTCGTTAATTATATATGTGTATTGCCAATGACTTAAAACTTTTTTTTAGTTGTAGTTGTTGTTCTGTATTGTTTATTTTTGTGAAAGATGCTACGATGTATTTGTAAGATCTTTAATACATCGTGTTTTCAACAGCAACGTCAGTATAGGGTTTGGATATATTTTTAACGACACCGTTGGCTACAATACTTTTCTTTAAAATTTGTTTTTATAAAAACTGCTCATGTTAGTTATATAATTTTTCGCATTTCGTAGGAATTTTTCTCTAATTTTTACTGGATTTTTTTAGCTTTCTAAATTTTTATTCGTTGTTATTTATATGAAACGTCACTATGTGAAACGTTATTATGTATAACTATTTGATCCATTTTTTCATTTAAACTTTTTTAATATTGATGTAAATATTGTCTATTTTATATAGTTTTTGTATTGATGTCAAAAAATCACTTAGCAAGTTATCTTAGACTTATAATTTTGAGGGAAAATTTGAATTAATGTATTTTTTGGTAAAGGATGAGAAACGCCATAGAGAAATTTTTTTTTTTTTTTGGAAACGTGAAAAACGTGAATTTCAGCAAAGTGAAATATACAACAACAACAACAACAAAAAGCAATATATTTACCAAGAATATAGATGTTTTACAATAAGCATGTTATAAAATACAAATAAAAAAAATATATGTATAGTCTATATTCTGGATGGTTCACTCTCATATAGCCTGGCTAAATCGAGGAGAGCGACCATGAGCAAAACAAAACAAAAAAAACAAACAAACAAGCTAGCTAATATATTCACATAAGGTTGCTATTATTTAACATTCATATTTATATCATATCTCTTATAACTGCTATTGCCATAAATCTTTTATCACCAACTATTCAATTATTGTTTTAATTTATCTTGATGTATCAGGTAGTATTTTAATTTAGTTTTGAGAGTATATTTTTTAATATTGCAAAAAGGGATTGTTTTTAATTTATTTTGAAGTTGATTCCAGTTCCATATTGCAGAGTATTTAAAGGATTGTTTACCATAGGATTTTGTATTATATGTTTGCACTCTCAGTGCACCGCTACAAGAATTTCTTGTAAATCGACTGCTAATTGCACTGCGTTGAGTAAACCATTTATCAAATATAGGAGGCGGATTTTTATTAAGGCAGCTGTGAATAAATAAGCAATTTTCAATTTTAATTCAATCATGTACTTTGAAGATATGTAATGTGTTAAAAGATGTGGATGTATGTGAATTTTTTGGAAGAAATTCAATAATTCTGACTGCTTTTTTCTGCATGATAAATAGGCGATTAATAATACTCATATTTTGACTCCATGATAAAAGGCAATATGTGAGGTGAGAGTGAAATAAAGCATAGTAAATAGATTTTAAAGTTTTTTGTTGAATGAAATGTCTTAGCTTTGATAGAATGGCAAGGGATCTATTCAACTTATTAGAGATATCGTTATAATGATAAGCCCAGTTTAAGTTTTCGTCTAGCTTTATACCCAAGTAGTTAACAAATTTTTTACAACAAAGTTTTTTCCCATTTAATTTAACTTTGATCTGTTGGTCTAAATTTTTTGTGGGGACTTTAAATAATATTAAATCAGTTTTTTTGGAGTTGAGGGAAATTTTGTTTGCATTAAGCCAATTGCATAGTTTCTTAAGGTCATAGTTAACATATTTGTTGATTTTTTTTACAGATTTATTAAAGTAGAGAAGGTTTGTGTCATCTGGAAAGTGTTGGACTCAACAAAATTTTAATGCTTTAGACATGTCATTTATATAAATAAGAAATAGCAAAGGGCCAAGGACAGATCCCTGAGGAACACCTACTTTGATATCGTTTAAGTTTGAGTTCATTCCACCAATAGATACTAATTGAGTTCTATTAGTAAGAAAAGATTTAAACCAGGAGTTTGAAACTCCTTTAATACCATAGTAAGATAGTTTATAGAGTAGAATGTCAACATCTACAGTCTCAAATGCCTTTGAAGATCAATAAATATACCACATCCAAACATTCCTTCATCTAGAGAATTTTTAATTTTTTCTGTTAGACTTAGTAAAGCAAGTGATGTAGAGTAGTTTGTTCGAAAACCAAATTGTAAATCACAAAACAGTTTATTTTCATTAAAGTATTCGTATAAGCGGTTAAACATTAGCCTTTCAAGAATTTTATCAATGTTGGAGAGGAGGGAAATTGGCCTATAGTTTGACATTATTAGTTTTGAATCATTTTTAAAAATAGGTATTGGCAGTTTTTAAGTTTTCTGGGAAAATACCGCTTGAGAATGAGGTATTAAAAATGTTAGAAAGAATTCTTGAAAATTCAGTTTTTAATAGTTTTAGAATTTTAACTGGTAGACCGTTTGGTCCAGAAGCTTTATTTGAGTCTAAAGAGTCGATAATTTTTGAGATTTCATGTTCGTCAGAAGGTTTTATAAAGAAAGATTTTTGAGCAGGATTTGATAAGTAATATGTGAAATGATTCATGGATGAAGGAATTGTTGCCTGGACATCCCTACCAATGCCAGTAAAGTAGTTGTTGAATGTATTACAAATATCAAAGGGGATTGTTATTGTTATATTGTTATGTACGATTACATTAGGAGTTGTGTGAGAGTTGCTTTTAATATTAATGATGTTTTTGATACCTTTCCAGGTTGCCTTTATATTTTTTATGTTTTCAGTAAAATAATTATCAAAGTAATTTTTTTTGCTTTCTTTGAGTTTAGATTGGAGTTTATTACGAAATATTTTATGCTCATTGTGGAATATGGTTTTATTTTTTTGATTTTTAGACCTGATATATTTTTTGAAGAGCTTGTTTTTGTGCTGTATAGAGTGCTTGAGTTCATCAGATATCCGTGGTTTAGTCTTGAATTTAATTTTTTTTTTTGTTAAGTTTTCTAAAAGACGCCTGGATATCAAGCAACAAATTGGAGATTACAAATTAGTATTCTCGAGAGACTGAGTACTGAAAAATATACCCTGAGTATCAGGGTATATTTTTGGTTCTTTATCTATAATAGTTTTGTGAAAATCGTGTTTAAATGATACTTCATTGAAACTTTTCCAGTTTCTTTCCTGGGTTAGGAGTTTTTTGCTAGGTGGTGGTTTAAGAATATTATAAGCTATTAGAAATTGGGGAAGATGATCTGAGATTGTGGTGGTAAGATTCCCAGCTTTATATTTGTTTGATTTAATATTTGAGAAGATATTGTAAATTAATGTTTTTGATGTTTTACAGATACGAGTAGGGTGGATAATGTGAGGAAGAATGTAATTTGAGGTGAGTGAGTCTAAAAAGTCTTTTGCATATAAATCTGTGTCACATTTTAACAAATCAATGTTAAAATCTCCTAAAATAAATATAGTTTTATTTTCTTTTGTTAAGTTTTTGAGTAAAGGATTAAGATAGAAGGATAAGAAGTTGTCCAAAGACATTTTTGGATGCCTGTAGATACAGCCAATGATAATATTTGATTTTTTTGGATTTATGATTTCAATAAAGATAGATTCTAGCTCTTTTGGTTTATAGATGAGGAGATCATTTCTGGGTTTATAGGTGAGCCTGTTATTTATATATAATAATGCACCACCTGCTTGTGATTCAGATGGTGTGTGTTCATGGGAATACCCATTAAGTGTTATGTTGCTAGTTTGAGGCCTGTTTTTAATCAGCCTGGTTTCTGATATACCAATTATGTCAAATTCAAGTTTTGTTGATTGGAGTAGATTTTCAAGGTCGTCAAAATATTTCGAGTGTGATGAGATATTGATATGAAATACATTGAATGAGGATTTGTCAGCTGCAATACATTTTAAATCATCAACATTAGTATAATAACTGTTTATTGGGAGATTTTGGGATTTGTTATTGTTATCAACATGTGTATTAAGTGAGTTAAAGATTGAGTATATGGGGAAATCTGATACTTGATAAATCTCATTTACTTTGGTGTCAACATTAGTAAGATTTTCGTTGTCAATTATAGTTTCTTTATTGAAGGGAAAAATACTGGCTAAACAATTTATACAAAACCAAGAACAATTTTTTGAGGAATTTTTTAGTAATTGGTAATCAATATCATTGAGATTGTTACATTTTAGGTGGACCCAATTAAGGCAGCTATCACAAAAGACAGCTTTCTTATTTTTATTGACATTTACATTGCAAACAGCACATATGCTATTTGTAGTTTTCATTACGGTGAATGGTTATGGCGATAAGATATATAAGTAACAATATTTATATGAACGTAAGTAGCAGCAGCCTATTAAAGATTAAGAAAAGTGATGAATAATATTAGTAATAAAAAAGTAAATATTAAAATAATAATAAATAATAAACAAAAACAAAAACAAAACGGTAAGTGTGCTTTCTTACAACTTATTGAAAGCAATCTGATCTTGAGTATACTTATCAACTAATCGCACATTTTTGTTTAGATTGAAAAGTCGTTAATTTTTTTTTAAGCTAAAGCCGCACATTTTTTTTTTTTTTTTTTTTTTTTTGTTTTATAACTTTTTATAATTTTTATAACTGTAAGTACGCAAAACTGCGTAATGAGTATAAACAAATAAAAAAAACTGTGCGCTTATAAATAAATATATACGGCGTAAACATGAATAAATAACATTAAATAACAAAATAAATAAGAAAATAAACCTTTGGATATTCGTAGGTTTTAGAACGATTTTATTAATAAAATCGTTCTAAAACCTATGAATTTACGTAGGTTTTAAAACGATTTTATTAATAAAATCGTTCTAAAACCTACGAATATCCAAAGGTTTATTTTCTTATTTATTTTGTTATTTAATGTTATTTATTCATGTTTACGCCGTATATATTTATTTACTCAACTCAAAATATTCAACAATATATTGTTGAATATTTTGAGTCGGATTTCTTATATTTGACCTTTAATACAGCTGGATATTCAAGGAATGCGCTTACGATAGATTTTTCTTCAATTAACCTTCGTCGTTCCTTCATTGCTTCATTGCGGCGCTCAGTTAGTGATTTTGAATACATCTGCTCAACTCGTATATTGTTGATGGGTCTAGCAAACACTCTTTTAGTATGTTCGCTATCGGACCATTTGTGAAATTTAACAAAAACATGACTTGGTTTAAAGCGGTTAGTAACTTTTCCACGATGGCAGCGTTCAATCATTTCGTGAATAGATCTTGGATCTACATTCGCTGCTTTGGCAATAGTATTAGCCACAATAATTTTTGTGTCATTCCAGGACTTTTTGATATTATTTTCATAAGGTATATTTTTAAATATAAGTGTTTTCCTTAGGTTTCTGTTAACCTGGTCATCTAAGTCATTTTTTAATTTTTCATTTTCTTCCAAAAGTAATTTGTTATTTTTGGATAAGTCGATGAGTTGATTACGTAGTTCAGTAATATCTTTAGTGTTCTTAGCTACTGTAGCTTTAATATCAGCATATGTAGCTTTCAGTTCAAAAATATCATTAGTTATTTTTATCAGAATTGTATTGATAGCAAGTAGAAT